ATATATATATATATATATATATATTTTTTTATATATATATATATATATATATATATATATATATATATATATATATATATATATATATATATATATATATATATATATATATATATATATATATATATATATATATATATATATATATATATATATATATATATATATATATATATATATATATATATATATATATATATATATATATATATATATATATATATATATATATATATATATATATATGATATGGTTGAAAAAAATATAAACAATGATTTTTTCACTATTTTGACAAATTATTGACTATTATGACATTTTATAATAATGTAATTTGCAGATGGGACCATATATCATGTCATTTATCAGCTTTCTATATGGGGACGTGAAGTGAGAAAAAAAAACAGTAAACCTACATTATGATGGAATGAATAAAACTAGTTCAGTATATCCACTGTCTGCACTGTTTCCCTTTACACTTATAGACCATAATGAAACCTGTATCATATATTTTAAACAACAATATTTAATGATTGTTAATGATTGTTTATTGAAGCGATGTACATCTTGTGTGCTGCTGGTGATCTAAAGTAGTGTTCCTGTAGTATTTGTATTATAAAAGGATTATGTGAATCAATGATCCTGCAAATGCAAGACTTCTTTAAGGAAATGAATGCTGTATGCAGAACACTGGAGAGTGTTAAAAGTAGTGACTGTTTAGGATTTTGTGTCTAGAGTTTTTTTAATTGACATCAGGGTTCTGAAATTTGTGGCAAAACAATTGGAAAAAAACTGTAACACATAATGAAGATCAAGGGCAAACAAATAAATGATGATATTTTATTGATTTTAACACATAATGAAGATCAAAGGCAAACATGAAGGGATTTACATTATAAACGCATCAGGAAATGATGAGATTAGAGAGTTTTAAATCATTTTAACATACAGAGATGAACATTTGTAGAAAATACATTTAAAGGTGTTTTTAAAAAGTGTTAAATTACTTTAAAACGGAAAAACAAATCGCCAATAGGTGGCAGCAAGAGACCTCTTTAATCGAGTGAAGCTTTAAGTGATTCATTCAGCCACGAATCCCTGATTCAGTGACTCGCCCGACTTTATACAGAGTCCTGAATTATTCGTGTAAGGAAACGCCACTGTGTATTATTCAGAGATGTACAACTGTTCTGCTGTTTATTTTATTATTATCATAGTAATGATTTCACTATTATTAATGAGAAAATAACGCGGAAGTTTTTCAGCGCCTCGTCACGTGATCGTCAGCATCCATGGCAACGGTTCTTTTTGTGTTGTTTTGAACTCCACTCTGTCATTGGCATCTGATCTCGGCGTCCTTCGTGGCAACTGATTCCCAGATTATTGATATTATTGATTGTTGGATACATCGATTGATCGTCTGCTTCTCCCATCATTCAGGTTTGACCCTTGTTATCACACTGTGTTTTGTGTTCAGTATGTCTTGTGTTCATTACAGGTTTCAGAGTCGACTCACCTACGACTCGCTCCAGTTTGAGGGCCTCAACATCACTGTGGGAGAGCTGAAGCGGCAGATCATGAGGCGCGAGAGGCTGAAGTTCTGCCAGCTGAAGATCAGCAAAGCCCAAACTGATGAAGGTGAGATGAGGAAAAGCCACTTAAACTATATTACACTAACATTAGATGTGTTATCAGACAGACTTGTAGAAGCTGACATGTGTTATCATGACTCTGATGGTGACATATAGTGATGTTTTGAGTGTTTTAAAATGCTAATGGCACTCAAAGTATACCATGGTAAATGATTAATACTATATTCAAACTTTATTTTGCTGTCAGAATACACAGATGATGATGCTCTCATCCCCAAAAACACATCGGTCATCATCAGACGGGTACCTGCGGCTGGACTGAAGTCCTCCAACAGAAGATTTGTTGGGTAAGTCATGTGAAATGAGCGCAATCGTCCACTGATAGATGTTATATCAAGAGTTTGAGTCTGTCTGTGGTGTTTTAGTCACACAAGCTCCTTTGTTTTGTTTTGCAGACATCAAGCTGGACCATCAGCTAAATCTTCTCAAACAGGTGATTCTTCACTCCTCTCACTGGAGCAGCTGTTGAAGGTATTGAACAAATGATTAATTCACCCCACTGTGCTGCTCTGTATTGAACTGCAGTGTTTGCATTTGAGGCGTCATAATGACATGTAGTGCAGAATATCAATACACAGTGTTTAGCAAACAACAATACACACAAACACACACACACACACACACACACACACAAACACACAGCTTCTTAGGGAGATTTGAGGGTGTTTATTTAGAGCAAATCAGTGAAATTAAATTCTAATGTGCAAATGCCTGTGAAACAGACTGAGAATCTGGCTGAGGCAAAGGCATCAGAGGAGGACAAGCTAAAAGCGGTGATGTACCAGTCCAGTCTGTGCTACTACTCCAGCAGGTGAGCGTTCAGACACTGACAGGTTTGGTTTGTGAGAAATGTTAGAGCTGATTCTCATGGTTCTGATGTTTATCAGTGAGGCCATGACACTGCTTGGGCTTCTTCCACCCAACTATGTCTGCTTTCACTGTGGGATCCCAGGACACCACATTAGGCACTGCCCCTCTAAAGGGGTAACTGGGTTTTCTAAGCTTATGGTTGCTGTGAACTTGAGCTCTTGTCTCCATCAGTCAGATTGTTTGCTCTGTCGTTTGACTGTCACTCATGAATTCACAGGGCAGCAGCTCTGCTCCGCACAAGCGCATCCGGAGGAGCACAGGGATTCCCCGCAGCTTCCTGTTGGAGGTGGACGACCCAAACCGAAAGGGAGTCATGATGGACGGCAGCGGCAAATACGTCATTCCCATCATAGACGCGTGAGTAAACTGTACTTGGCATTGCAGCATGTTCTATTGTTTGTGAAAATCTCACATTATGTCTGCTTGTGTGTGTTTGCACTTGATCTGTTCAGTGAGGCCTATGCTGCTGGGAAGAAAAAGAGGCCTTCCTTCTGCCAGACCAAGCCACTGCCCTCCTCTACCTCAGCTAGTGCAGCATCTTCAGTCCAGGACGCCAGAGGGAAACGTTCCCGCTCCCCATCTCCACCAGAGACGCACAACGACCAGAAGAGACCACGTCACTGAGAGACCTTCACCCAAGAGACCTGGAGCCGACGTGAGCACAGTGTATATATTGTACATAGTTTATGAATAAAACTGAATAAAGATTATAGCAGCATAAACTGTGGACTGGTTGACCTTCACACAATACAGAAACACAAAAGAAAATGATCAACACATTAAGATAGAAATGATGAACAAACATGCTGCGGGAGAACCAGTGTGCTGTCCTGCTCACAATCTAAAACTTTTAGTTAAAGTCTATTTCAGAGGTGCTTCAGGAAACTTTTTCTTATGAAAGGCCAAAAACTAAACTCGTCTGAGGGTGGTGGGCTGGAGGTAAATTTACCAAACTGTAAAATTATTATTATTCATTATATAATTTACATGATTCACTGAATACTGTAATTTACAACATTTCAAATTCTTTAATTGTATTAATAATTATACATTTTATAATGAATGAAAGTCTTACAATAAAACATGAACAATCCCATTTATAACACTAAAATACACTTTGCCTTCGCTTGCTGATGTCTTCTGTAATGTCTGCTCTCCTTCAAGTGACTATTATTTTATTTGATTCATTCACAACATTTCATTGAAACGTTTAATTTCAGTTTGTTTATTTTTGTATCTCAACAGTTAAAAAATAAAGTTATGTTGTATTAGAAATGACAATCTCTGTTAAAGACTTTCCCCCAAAACTCCCCATCATTCTCCCTCTCTTCTCAGATGGGATGAAGGGCCAAATCAAAGGTTACTGTGGATCCGCTTTGGCCCACGGCCCTAGTTTGGGCATCTCTGGTTTACACCGATGACATGCTCATCTAATCAATCCTGGCCAAACAAAATGTTGCAGCTCATCTGGTCTTCAATGATCCCAAGAGAGCCCACGTCACACCTCTCTTACCTCTCCACTTACACTGGCTGTCAGCTGAAGGTTCAAAACATCTCCACTTGCTACTTGCTACACTTGCCCCTCTGTCCAGAAGTGAGCACTGCCTCTTAGAACCATGCCATCAAGGATTTGGGGGTGTTTAACCCTTCTGTGCTGTTGGTGAAGTTTTGGTCCACTCTGGGCTGATTTTGAGGCTTAATTTACCAACAACTTTCTCTGTGGTTCAGCAAATGGGATGATTTTTGGAGACAAATCTTGTTGACACATATTTTGGGAAAATACTTTTAGAATTTTTTAAAAACTCAACAATACACTCTGAGCAAATTTATCACCCTTTCATTGTGTTCATGGCTGTTTTTGCCCAAATGATTTCCATTATTTTTAAATGCAACGTCATGACAGCGTATAATCATGCATTCTTGATTGTTGGTGGTTTTTCCTGTTGGGAAGAGGTAAGATTTGTGATTTTTACTGGTGATCATCAGTTACAGTTCAAAAAAGCTTGATTTCTTGCTTTTATTTGGTGTTTAGTGAGTGTGTGAGGTTGTAAGAGAGACTTTTACACATATATTGATGTGTAGGAGAAAATACAAAATAGGCACCTCAGCTGTCAGAACATAGTAAGTGTACTTATGCATGCACTCTATAAATTGCAGTTTTACTCCACAGAACTCCATATAAAAGTCAGACACGCTTTTGCACGGGGCAATGTAAAGGATTTAATGGTGCCAACTGATGATCAACAGTAAAAATGAAATTTGACCTCTTCCTAAGTGGGAACCCACTAACCAGAGTTGCTGCTGGTCAAAAGGAGACCCTAAGATAATTTTTACTGCAGTGCTTCAGCAGAGAAACAAAAACACACAAACATATGTATTTAAATGTGTATTCATTTATTATATATAAAAATATGCATATAAACACTCAACATTAAATGTTTCATAAAATAACAGTTTACGTCAAACACTGACATGTCTTCTGCAGAAGGATTCCTAATTGCAAACATTTACAAAGGTTGTCATAAAACCCTGTCTGAAGCTGTAGAGATAGACGGTCCTCGGTGCTGCATGCTGTATCTGTAACGGTCAGCTGCTGGGCCCGGTTTTTCAAAAGGTTTAATCCGGATCAAATTGATCCAGATTTAGTAGTTCTGTTTTTGCGATCCGTGATCAGGTAATCCAGCTTACTTTTTGAGCCAGTTTTTCAGAGCAACATCGAATTGGATCAAACTGATCCGGATAGAAACTTTTCAGGATCACTAAATCTGGATTACCAGTGCTCAAACAGGATAGGAAATCACAATGTAGAACTATAGATATGTAAAGAGTGACAAGTAGAATAGCCAGCGTGGGGTCAATATAACTTTATTTTTTTTAAAATGAAAACTAAGAAAATTTAATAAATATTAAATTAATAATAATAATAAATAATAAAACAAGAAAAAGCCCACCCCATCCTCTTCCAGCAGTCCGCTCATCTGAGACCTACACCACAAACACTGTACATTGAGGATATTTATAATAAGTTTCAAATATAGATGTAAATAAAAAAAAAGACTTAATGTCAAAAACTCCACAATAATCTCAGACTTCCTCATCTGATGTGGAGAGAGCAGCTTGTCTGAGCGTAGCCTTTAGGAGGCGGATCTCAAGTGTGGCCTTGGTTTGCTGCAGTTTGGTCAGAGTCAGTTGTTCCCCCGCCAGACGAAGCTGTGCTTCTGCCCTTTCAGTCTCTTTTTGCAATTGTTGAAAGAGATTTCAAAAATCAGTCATTGCCATTCTTTGCATTTTTTGTTTATTCTGTAATCATTGCATGCATCACTAATAAATATTCTAAAATGAAAAATATTTTTCATTGTGATGAATATATATATCAATTAGTGACAAAATAAAATTGATTGTTTTTGGTCAATTTTCACAGCTGTTTGGGGGATTATTTTATGAGGCCAAACTCTTTCTACGTTGCTGGAGGCCTATACTGAAAGGCTAAATACATTAAAGCCAATAATCACTATAGCCTGACGGATGAACAAATAAAATTAAAACCTTATGAATAAATAGTATATATCGTAAGATACTGCATGATCCAAAAATAGTATTATTTTATACATTTTTTAAGTTTTCATTACATTTTAGGCATGAAATCCACGCTAAATCCACCTTTCTGGTGGAATCAGTTTAATCCAGGTTTTTTGGATCAAAGTGATCCAGATCCTACAAAAAAGGTCTGAAAAACCCAAACTAAAGGTTTGATCCGGATCAAAACCAAGATTAGATTACGTGATCTAATCCGATTAGGTAATCCGTTTTTTTCTTTTGATAAACCCATTTTCAAGATTTGATCCAATCCCTTATCCAAAATCCTAGTGGATTACTTTTGAAAAATCGGGCCCTGGTGTCAATTTTCAAAACTCTAGATACAAAATTCACAACCATTGCTAAAATTGCACATTTTTTTGCAAAACCCTTAACTCTTTTTTCAAATGCTTGGATAAAACACACACAAGTCAAAAATACTTTGTTCATTGAACTCAGATCACCTTTTCAATATAACACAATTAAACTTCAAATTGATCCCATTTCAAAATGCAACTCAAACATTACAATTGAAATAACCATGTATTCATTTACTTCACGTGATGTTATTATCAACTGATACAAGCACTCAAAATAATAATTAACTGTTGCATTACTCTGGATTTATGGAAACTTTTGTACAATATTACATGTTTAGATGATGAAATAACCAGGATAGATCAAATGACATCAGTTACCACAGAAGATGACCCAACTGAACTACATTATCTATAGATGACATCTTTATTCATCCTTAATTTTTTATATTTATGGTTACTTTGTTCCATGTACCACTTTTACAGACAATGTTTTTATATCTGACATTACTGTATGTATGTGAGAAAGCCCAATCACAGCAATATCAGGCCTGGATTCACATTGACAGAAGGTTCTTTCCAAGATTTTTGACTTATGAAAACACCACTGTGATGTAGAGGAGAACCAAACCCACAAGACCAGAAAGATGGAAACCCAGATCCTAAAATAGAAATCTGATATATAGAAATATATGCAAATTACATATGTGACATAATAGTTCATAAGAATTTTACATATATAAAATGTCATACATGTCAAAATATTGCCATTTTTTACAGTTTTTCTTGTTTGCTTTGACCTGGTTAAAGAAACTAGGTTCCACTTCATTTTCATTTTCACTATCCCAGCAGAGCAGAAGACAGGTCTTGCAAATTTGTAAACCTTTTCTCATTGGGTTGACACATTTTCCTTAGCATTTTTCAAAACAGTTAACACAGATGTCATTCAAGCAGTCCAAACTCCATTGTTTTAGCTATGGTAACCAAACAGAGACCATCTATTCCTAACCATTAGACACTACCAAGATCAGTTTGAATTCACTGAAGCAGCGATTTGAAACTCCTACACTCAAGTCTTCAATTAGCAATCAGTCTGCAAACCTTATATAAATGGTGGAAGGTCTGTGTTGTTCTGTGCCAGCATGGATGGAGGAGGTCAATAGTGGCTATGTCCTATACTCCCAAAAGATTTGACTGTACATTGGTTTAAATGTGTTTAATATTTACAGAATTTTATTATTTTTGTCTGTTTTTACGGTATTTTAGTTTTTAGCCACAGTTTGAAAATTGTCATGAATTCAATATAAATTTAATCAAAGCATTTCTTAATCTGGATCCAATTCTTTGCAAAAAGGCAAACTTGACGGCCCAAATAGAAAGACAACAAATGGCATTGGCAATAGGCTACAATGACAAGCAATGGTGGTGCACTGACTTCTATATTTTGTATTTTGTTGTCCATTGTGTAATGATTAATTCAAAGAGCTCATATATCTGTTTGCAAGTTGTGTTGTTTGAAGGTAAAACTAGCTTTTGTTTCATATTTTAAATGTTTTGACACGATATGTGCCTTTTGCAAGCAAAATGTGTCATTTTGACCATGAGTGCTGCTGTTTAGGCCTGTGTGTCTACTGTTTAGAAAAGGTGGAGTTTCAGTTGACAACTGCATCCAAGCAATCGAGAAAAACTGTGACTATTAGAATTACAAATATAAACATGTATGTTACGTGTGTATATATATATATATATATATATATGATCTATTATGTTATATATTTTACCCCTAAAAATATTTTACCTATAATTTTACCTATATTATGACATT